TCAGTTTAACAAGTTCTACATCACCCACATCCATGTAATATATTGTGTCAGGAATACAGTAAATCATAACACAGCAAGATCTTCAGGCTTGTTTCTGCTATCAATAACTAATTCTGTACTTCAGGAAAACACAGCTGTGTCAGAAATAGATAAATTCTCTGAGTGCCCATATAGAAGCCACACTTACTACCTCACCTTCAGGCTAAAAGTGCGTACAGACAATTCAGCAGCAGCAGCTTTGATAACATACTTCAATTTCTCTTTCATATGTGCTTTAAATAGGAAGGAGCAGTTAGAGAGGGGGAAGAAACACCGGTATTCCTTAAAAATTATCTGTACATTTGGTCTATAATGTTGACCACTGAATTCTGCACTTCAAAAGCTGCAATATTCCAGTTATTTCAGTAGTTTATGTGCAGGGAGATCTAGTTTGCCTAAGTACCTTCTAAATATACAGACCTAGCCTTGCACATTTATCAAGCACAGAATTTTGTCATTTCCCTGTGACGTCTTCACACATTTTTTTGCTGCAGAAGAACCAGGTGAAATGCTGAATTTAGCATTTATTCTTTACACAAGTACCCAGAGCCTGAAGGCTGTTTTTTTTGAATGTGGAGAACACAACCCATGCTCTTACACCGAATTCAAGGCTATGCACAGGTGATACCCATGTGTGAATCAGTGTTCACATTGGTCCTCCACAGAGCAGCCACTGCCAACTCCAGAGGACTGCCAGGCAGTCATTGCTGTCTGCCTCCCAACAGAAAGCAGCAGCACAGGAGATGTAGGGCAAGCAGGGAAGGGCTACAGTGAGATTTTGAGCACAAGCAGCAGTGAGACAACTATCTCTCCCTGAGAGATAACAAGTTTTAAACACCCAAATTCCTTCTGTGCTTTGGAAAATAATTGTATTTATCATTTGTTTTGCAGTGTCAATCCAGTAAAAGAAGCGTGACCCTTCTAAAAGTACAGTTCAAACACCAGCAGGCAGTGGCAATCTGGACAGAAGAGATATTTTTTCCTTTGTGACAGTTACTCTTCAATCATTTCTGATTAATAATTAGCAGGATAGTGAGGTTTCTGTTCAAAGCCTGCATTGAAAGAACAGCAGTATAGTTGAGACATGTGAAGAAGATCCCAATTAAATTCTATTCACTACAAGATTCAGGAGAACTGAGATATCTGCAGCCTTTTAGTTTCAGAAAAGTATCTGTGACAGCATCTTCCTGAAAAGAAATCAGTCCCCATTTTCATACCCGCTTTTCCTTTCTTCAATAAAAAGTCCACATTTAAGTTGGAGGGGGAAAGTAAAGTCAGAGTGATGCTTGCTGACCTTTTGTAAGTAAAGCTACATGAAGAGTTTGACAAAGATGGAAAGTGATTCATATGAGAGATTACTCTGTTTAATGCATGCAGAAGAGATGGCAGAAAAGGTCAGCTGTTCACCTCCCTTGCATTTCTAACTATGCCTCGCTTTTCTCATCCAATGATGAATTAACAATATATGGCTTTTTGGCAACAACTCTGCACAGTCTCCCGTGATGACATTTCAGGATAGAGCACAAGATAACTTTTGCTTTCAGTGCTGCAAAGTATAAACTCAAAAATTCTGTTCCAAAAAGAAAAGTCTCCTTCCAGGTAAGACACGTACAACCCAGCAAGGCCTTGGTTTATTAAGCCAGCCATACTCAGGATAATCCCCAAGGGATTGCACAGATTGCTTTGGATAATCCAGGAAATTAAGGCCAGAAGTAGAAGCCAGCCTGCAGCTTTCAGTGGCATGCAGGTGAAATGCTGCATGCAGTGAGGGCATGCAGTCAGGGAGGCAGTGAGGGCATGCAGTCAGGGAGGCAGTGAGGGCATGCAGTCAGGGAGGTCGGATGGCTGCGTGGAGACTCGGTACCTTTTCATGCGTTCCTGTTCACTGGTGTCCAGCGCTTTCAAAGTGCGAGCATACAGGATCACAATGTCAGAACGTTTTGCTTTCTTATTGCACTGAAATAAAAAGACAAGTTCAGTTCATCTACAAGAATTTAATCATGCAAACTATGCCTCCCTACCAGTTGCTAGGTATTATTTTGAAAAATCTTTTCAGCTTTGAAAGGAGGGGTTGTCCAGTTGAAAACAAGTCCACAAAAACACAAACATCCCACAGCGTGTTTGCAGACACTCCCTCAGACAGACACCAGAGCTCTAATCAGAGCTACCACCACAGTTTAGGTCACCTTTAATAATGTATCTCCTTGTTTCCCACTAAATTTGTTCTGCTAAAGCACCAGCGACACAGCATGGTCAGGTAAATTCTAGGGACAAAAGAAAAAACAAAACAAAATAACCCAAACAAACAAAAAACCCCAAAAGTAGACAAAGGGGAAGGAAAATAAATCTAAAACAAAAGACCAGCCCAACCTCTAATTTGAAACATCAAGACTGGCTGCTTGGCTGACAGACAAGGATTTGGGAACACCTGAGTATACTCCCAACTCTGTTATTTACAGACTATGTTCCTTTGATCCAATCCTATAAGCCCAAATCCATAAAAGCATTCCAGTGTCAGTACGAAACACTGACATCCCTCTGATTTCAGTGATACAGGGGAGCCAGATATTTCAATAATTTTGTGTCTGGCTGTGACCATTTAGTACTTTAGATTCACCTTAAAAAGAAGGGATAATACTTCCCTGAGTCGGGACCTGGAAGGAATGATGGCATCTGCAAGCTTACTGTCTGCAAATATACTTTGTTGATCAGAAAAGAGGCAGTGACTACTCAGATCAAGTAACCCCTGGTGAACATTAAATTATTATGTGCGCTTAAAATGCAGCCTTCTCTATTATTTAGTAGCATGAAGATATCAGAGGCAACAGTTTCAGATCAGACAAGCCCCCTCCCTTTGTTAAGAACTGCCTTGCAGAGCAGTAAGTGGCTAAGACGCCTTTCCTGGCAGCCAGCAGCCGTCACTGGCAGGATCAGGAATGCTGCAATTTCACAGTAACTTGCACTCAAGCCACTTAGTACACAGAGCAGCACACACAGCAGATCTGAGCTATTCATTTAGAGAACGCCCAGTCGCAAAGGACAGCGACTGCAAATGAAGGGGAGATGATTTATCTGCAAGGTTCTCTCCAAAGCAAGAAGTTCTCCCAGGAAATTTTCAATAATTACATCACTAGAAGAAAAAAAAGAAAAAAAAGAGGGAACAAGCACCCCTTACAAGTTGTTAGGGTTGAAGGAGGAGAAAGCAGTCACTAAATTCCAAAGAGCAAAGATGCCAGGAAGGTCTCCAGGAGTTCTGCCTGGGCTTGGAGTGGCTGATGAAAAGCTAACATAGAATTGACAAGGATAAGAAAAACAAGGTTTGGGCCTTTGCTATGGCAATGGTGATTCTCTAGGTTTAATCACAGTGCAGGTCAACAGGAAGCTCTTGTTGAGAGCAGGGAATCCTGCACAAAGTCAAGCAAGACTATGGAAGCTCTCAAAATGACAAAGCCAAAGAAATCCTGGGCTTCCAGCCACCGACTTGGAAAGCAGAACTGAATCCTTATTTACAAGGTACTCGTTGACCTATTTTTTGTCAACATTCCTTCCTGGAGAAAAGGACTAAGGAATGGAAGCACACCACAGAGAAGTGTAGACCTAATTGAAAGACATCAGTATTACCCATGGAAACCAAGCTGAAAAGAGCACCTTAAAAAGCAGATCCACCACTTGCAAATGGACAGCACAGGATGCAGCTTGTTTCTCAGTTTGCTCTCTGCAAGGTGGCTAAACAACCTCAGCTGCCTTTCCCAAAGGCATAGGCAGTTCAAACCAGAAGATTAACTGACTGAAAAAGGTTCTCAAACAGATTTCTTCTCCACTAACATATTCTTTATGCTTAATTAATTGCTTCTAGGAATCTGTCTGCCATCCCCACACTCCAGGACCACAGTGCAGCATTCTGAAACCAATTACAGGTTTAGCACTCGAACTCTTCTGAGTTTCTACTCACAAATGTTCTACTTCAGGGAGAAAATCCAAGTCAGAATCTTCCCTTTAAAGAAGCACTAGTTGTTCCTTGCCTAGTTACACCAAAATAACAGGGATTTTTGTTATTTCTGAGAGCAGGCAAAGGTGGATTCTTCACGCAGCAAGCGGTTGTAACAGTTACGGTGCTCCCGCCTGCAGAAGTCACCCGATAGCAAATCCTTTCCAGTGCACATAAATGTCCATTTTACCTGGGGGCACTTCCCTGCCTGTCCCTTCAGCCACCTTTCGATGCAGGTGTAACCAAACAGGTGGCCACATCGCAATGCAGAGAGGCGGTGGTCCCCAGCGTTCGTCCACTGCTCAAAGCAGATGGCACAGGTATCCCCTTCCTCCTCATCCAGCGCTGCAACAGGCACTGATGGTTCCAGTGTCTTTACTGGAGTTCTCTAGGATTAAAAATGTAAAAAAAAAAAACCCCAACACACATGTATTTATTTTTTTCAGTGCAGCGTTTACCATTTTTAATCTGTCTCTGAAAGCATTTAGATCATCTTACCTGCTTTTGATGGACTTCAGCCTCTTCATCTTCATGACTTCCACGTTCTGCAGAAGCTTGAGACAAAGCTTGAGGTGGCTCCACTTGGACCTGACTGGAAACTAAAGAAAGTTTTGCTTAAAATGAACTGATACAAAAAAGGGGGGGGGGGAAAGGAGTTCTCCGGACTTCCTGAAATCACCAGGGCATAAGGAAAGCAGTGCAACGATGGCACAGGTTACACACAAAGCTCCAGATCAGCGTCCTGGATTCTGAAGGTCAGGTAGTTTGTGTGTAAGCCCTTCTATTCACCAACGAAAGGGCTGGAGGACTTTATGCTTTTATAGAAAGCAGCAGAATCTCAGCATATTCAGTGAAAAAAAGAGGTCTTTTAAGGACAGCGATTGTTATCAGGATTTTTTTACCTGCTGGAAACAAACACATCTGCAAACAGGTATATGGTGAAGCTGATTTCAGGATACAACCCTCCATCATTATGCTCAGAGACAGACACCAATATGAAGAAGTTATTTTGCTGAGGGATCTAAGCATGCATATTTCATGTGCCAAGAAAGCATTTACCGTATGCTCTCTGTCCATTCACCCTCACTTAAGCAGTTTTCCAGCTGGTAGTTATCCAAACTATCGATTCTCCTGGGCCATATGCTTTTGTGGTGGGCCTCTGTTAGCCCTTCTGTTGAGGCACAGGCACACTGAAATGCTACATTTGGATTCCCACCACCAGCATACTAAAAAAGGAGCAAAAAAATCATTGTCTCCTCCATCTCCTGACAAAAGGGTTATTAGTCATATTTAGTATTCAAGGCAGATATTCTCAACCCAGTGGAGAGGTACCACCTAACCCTAGCTGATGGCAATAAAGTTTTCAGCCTCTGTGGCTCTGGGCTGAACAGGAACCAATGGCTTATATAAGCAAAAATAAAAGAGAAGGGAATTCCAGAAAAACCCAACAGAGAGCATATGTGCACACAATAATAGACAGCACTTAACAGCTTGAGCTCCTGTCACGTGTAAGACTAGCTGAGAGCAAGAGGAATGAATCTGTTCAAAGGACACCTCATAGATGGAGGGACAGGACACCATCCAGAGGGACCT